ATCATTCTCTGTACTCGGCTTTGTCGGTCGCAATGCTTTAAATTTTGCCGACCCCTACACGTTGAAATTATTGTATACATGCTTTGTTCGGCCTATTTTGGAGTATGCAGTGTTCATCTGGAGACCATATTGCATATCGTCAATTAATAGGATCGAGCATATAAAGTTCGTTGACCCAATACCATCGTATACATCTCGTTTATTGCTTTTACATCTTAAACTACTGGAGAAGCGACAGTCCGTTCTCTGCCTTTCATTTGTTTTCAATGTAATTAATGGAGGTATTGACTGTCCCTATATATTAGGGAGAATTAACTTCAATGCTCCTCAACTTGTCTCAGATATATTTCCCCATCTTATTATAAAGAGGAAAGTACTAACTTTGCTGAATATGCTCCTCTCAAGCGTGCTATGCTTGAGTTTAACTCGATTTTCGAGAAAGTTCTTCTTGATTTTTCTTACTCTAGGGTATCCTTCATTAATACCCTCAATTCTATTTTTTAGTTTAAGTTAACTACTTATGTACTTTTAATTTAATTATTTTATAATTCTAATTTGCATCCTAATTCTCCTTTAGTCTGAAAGAAATAATGTTCATAGACGTAACTAACTAAGTAAATAAATAATACAAGAACAACATTAACGGCTGCACCGAAGCTAATATACCCTTCACATGTGCATTTTTTTTAGTAACTTTATGTCCAGTTTGTATGGAAGCTATGGAGCTGTAGTAATCCGATCTGAATAATTTTTGCGGAGATTATATTATTACCTTAAGCAGTAATCCGTGTCAAATTTCGTGAAGATACCACGTCAAATGCAAAAGTTTTCCATACAAGAACTTGACTGCGATCGTTCAGTTTGTGTGGCAGCTATATGCTATAGTAAGCCGATCTGAACAGTTTCTTCGTATATTACATTTTTGTCTTAGAAAATAATCTATACCAAATTTCGTGAATATGTATTGTCAAATCCAAAAGTTTCAATACAAGAACTTGGTTCTGATCGTTCAGTTTATATGGCTGCTATATGTTAGAGTAAGCCGATCTGAACAATTTTTGCCGATATTACATTATTTCTATGAATAATAACTCATACCAAATTTCGTGAATATATATTGGTAAATCCAAAAGTTTTCCATKCAAGAACTTTATTCCGATCGTTCAATTTGTATAACAGCTGAGGGACTAGTTAGTATATACACAGATAGACGGACGGACGGACAAACAGACATACGGACATGGCGAAGTTGGCTCAGCTCAACATACTGATCATTTATGTATATACTTAATAGGGTCTCCGACGCTTCCTTCTGATCGCAAGATCTTCAGTGATATAATACCCAAGTTATCCTTTGTCATTTTTCTGTTTTTATTTTTTTACTTAGTTCTGCTGTTTTAACCATTTTAACGGCAGCAAACATTTTTTAAATGTATATTTAGTAAATAGTTCGAAGAAATCAAAAAA